CAGTGCGGGGATGGGCTGGGTGAGGGGAGGGGCTGGCGGCGGCGCTCTCACTACAAGTTGGTGGCCACAGCGGCGGCCCCGTGATGAAGCGTGGCGGCACCAGGGCATGACGTACCCTGCGCTGGCTGCGCGCTCCCGCCCTGGCTCACCTCGCCTTGCGCCCCCGCCCCTGGCGCCAGGTACGGCATCTGGGCCGACTGGGGGACGCCGTACGTCACCCTGGACCCTGCTTACGAGGCGGCGCAGCTGCACGTGTTCGGTCAGATGGTGCTCAACGGCCACATCTACCGCGGCCGCAAGCCCGTGCACTGGTGCGGCGGCCGGGGCGTGCGGCGGCGGGGGCGGGCGCTGAAGGCCTGGGCGTGGAAGGGGTTGCCCACACGGGCGGCAAAGCGGAGGCCTGCAATGGGCCCACAGAGGCTGCCAGTGTGTGTGTGTCTGGTGGCGGCTGGCTGCGCCGCCGTCCGGCAAACAACGGGCTCAGGCTCTTCCTATCCGGGGTGGCAGCGGGCGCCTGCTCAGCACCCATAGGCAGCCTGCGTCGCATGGCCAACCCTGGCGGTGGCAAAAACCCTGCGACGCCGCCCCCCATACCCTTTGGCGCCAATTGAAAACTCAAACAGGTCCCCTAGCAGCCGCACCGCCCTTGCCGAGGCGGAGCTGGAGTACCCAGAGGGCCACCGCAGCCGCAGCATCTACGTGGCCATGCCGCTGACCTCGGCCGGCCCAGATGCGCCGCCCGAGGTTGCGTCGGCCTTGGACGGGGCCGCGCTGGCGATCTGGACGACGACGCCTTGGACGATCCCGGCCAACCTGGCGGTGGCTGTCAACGATCAGCTGGACTACGCGGTTGTGGAGGCCAAGGTGCGTGTGTATGTGAGGGAGAGAGAGAGAGAGAGTGTGTATGTGTGCATGCTTGCAACGGTGTCTGTGTGTGTATTTGTGTTTGTATGGCTGTGCTTGGGTGTGCATTTGTGCATTTGTACGTCCTTGCAAACGTGTGCGTGTGCGCGTGCGTACAGTGTGCGTGGGTGCGTGCTCAAACGTCTGAGTGTGTGTTGAGTCTGCAACGCAGGGTGCTTTTCTGTGCCGAAGGTGGCCTGAGGTGGAGCGGCAATGGAGCTGTGAGTCGCGTAGTGATCAACCTTCGGTATGTGCTCCTTAACGCGCACCGCCCCGCCCCTGCGTGCCTGCGCTACATAGGGCGACGGCGCGTCTGGCTGGTCGCACAGGCGCCTAGTCGTGGCCCACGGCCTGGTGGAGGCGCTGCAGGCTAAGCTGGGGGCAGAGTCGCTCGAGGTGGGCGGGCGCCCGGCCTGGCTGAAAACGCGGGGGCCACATCTCGCAAGCGATGCGCGCACCGCATCCGGCAACACGGACGCGGCTCGCTGTTGGGCCCCCTCGGCTGTCGCCGGGCGCTGCTGCCACATGCCAAGCGCCGTGATCTTTGGTCTACGATTAACCCCCCCCCCCACCCGCCCTTGCATAATCGCGCTGCAAAGGTCCTGTCGACCTTCAAGGGCGGCGTCCTGGAGGGCAGCACCTACACGCACCCCATCTACGGCCGCTCCAGCCCCGTGGTGGTCGGCGGCGACTACATCACCACAGACAGCGGCACAGGGCTCGTGCACACCGCCCCCGGCCACGGCCAGGAGGACTACCTGGTGGGTTCGGTTGATGGGCAGCTTCCGCAGCAATGCCACATAGCTTCCACAGCGACGGACTGGGGCTCAGGGGGTGGAGTGAGCAGCGGGGGAGGTTAGATTTGTAGGTGGCCGCCAGAGCAAAGGGGAAGGGGAGGCAGAGGTCGGAGGTTACCCGGGACGGCTGTTATCCTGGATCGTGCACGGTGCCGTTCCTGCCTGCGCCACGCGGCTTTGATCGCAGCTCAGACCCCCCATTCAGCCGACGGTTGCTGGTTGCGGCTGCCAGGCATGGTCACGAGCTGCAAACTACATGGACTCCACCCCCCTCGTTCACACCACCTCCGCAACAACACGACCACCTCCGCCCCCCGCAGGTCGGCCAGCGCTACGGCCTGCCGCTGCTGTCCCCGGTGGACGACGCCGGCCACTTCACCGAAGAGGCCGGGCCGCTCTTCGCGGGACTGGCTGTGCAGGTGCGGGCAGCGCCCACGACCCCACCCGGGCCGCACCCCGGCGCCCGCCGTCCTTTGAGTGAATCGCGGCCCCGCCTCGTCTGGGCACGGGCGACCGGCCGTGCTCGCGCGCGAGGCAGGGCAGGCGAGCTCGCGCATCCGTCCTCCCTGAACCAGCAAAGGCAGCTTCGGCAGCGCTCAGCCCGCTGCCTCTGCTGCACCCCGAATGCTGCTCCCCCCCACCAGACCGACGGCAACCAGGCGGTCATCACCGAGCTGCAGGGCCGGGGGGCGCTGCTGCTGGAGGAGTCGTACGAACACAAGTAGGGGTCGAGGGCGACGGCGTGTGTGCTCGGGGAAGGGGCCGGCAGACGCAAGCATGCACCCATCTACATGTGCACGTGGCTTTCCGCCCTTCACCCCCACAAGATCATCAAGCTAGCTGGCAATAGGGGCCGCCTTTTACCCTGCTTGCCCCTCCTTCCTCCGACCTTGGCACTTGCCTCGACCAGCCTTACGCAGCCGCATTCTATGCAGCTCCGGGTGTCCGCCGCAGCCCTCTCTCACACCCCCTTGCACATGCACCCCAACTCGCGCTGCCTCCTGCGCCAGGTACCCCTACGACTGGCGCACCAAGAAGCCCACCATCTTCCGCGCCACCGACCAGTGGTTCGCCTCCGTCGAGGGCTTCAGGTGCGCGGCCCACCCCCTCGCGCCCCGCTCCTCAAACCCCTGACCCCCACCCCCCAACCCCCCCCCCGCCTGCGCCTCGCAAGTCCCGTGCCCGTCATCGGCCGCTGCCGTCTGTGCCGGCGCCATTCCTCTGGCCACCCTTCAAAGCCGAGTCTGCGCTGCGCCCTGTCCTTGACAGCTCCAGCACCTGCCACCAAACACCACTTGTGCCCTTGGATGCCCCCTGTTACATGGTGCTGGTGCAGGCTTCCACTCCCATCCCTGCTCCCCACCCACCCACCCATCCACACACACACACACACACACGCGCGCTCGCGCACGCACACACACACGCACAATCACGCACGATCACACACACACACACACACACACACACACAAATTCACGTACACGACTACCGCAGGCAGCAGGCGCTCGACGCGATCCGCGGCGTGAGCTGGCTGCCGGCTGTCGGGGAGAACCGCATCACCTCCATGACCGAGGGCCGCGGGGACTGGTGCATCAGCCGCCAGCGCAAGTGGGGTGTGCCCATCCCCGTGTTTTACGACGTCGACAGCGGTGCGCCGCGCGCCGCGCTGAGCCGGGACGAGTGGGGTGCCTGGGGGTGTGGTGGGGCGGGCGCGCGCAAGGCGTTGTCACGGAGCAGGCGGCGGTGCTGTCGTCGGCGTCTATCAGTTCTTTTGGGTGGGGAAAGCGGGTGTGTCACAAGAGATGTTTGTCGGGCAGACATGGCACAGAAGAATGACAGCGCGCAGGACGTATCTGGGGCTGGGGACGCGCAGGGGTGGGGTGCTGTTGCAGGCGCCGCGTGTGTGGCCAAAGGCGCTCCTTCTCTGCAGGCGCGGCCAGACGGCCCCTCACGTCGCGCGTTAGGATGGTGGTGTCTGCCGTGCTCCTCGTGGGCGCGCCCCCCCCCCCGTCAATACATCAGAGAAGCCTGCAACCATCTCTCACCAATCTTCCTCGCCATCATTGCATATTGATCAAATCCCCATCAGGCGAGCCCCTGCTCACCAATGAGACGATTGAGCACGTCACCCGCGTCGTGTCCGAGCACGGCTCCGACGCCTGGTGGCAGCTGCCCATCGAGCAGCTGCTGCCGCCGTCGCTGGCGGACGCCGCGCCGCGGCTGCGGCGGGGGGAGGACACGATGGATGTCTGGTTCGACAGCGGCAGCAGCTGGGCGGGCGTGGTGCGGGCGCGGGAGGCGGAGGGGCTGCGGTTCCCCGCTGACCTGTACTTGGAGGGCTCGGACCAGCACAGGGGTGAGTCGCACGGTGGTGTGGCATGGAGTGACGCAACCATAGCGGCTGCGCTTTTGGCGCCAGAAGTTTGATTTCATGGGATGCACATTGCAAAGTTCCTGACTCGCGCGCGCGGCGGCCTGCGCAAGGCTGGGTGTGGTCCCAACATGCTTCGCACGTGTGCAGGCGCCACGCCCTCTCCGTTGGTCTCAGGCTTGATAGTACTCTTTGGGCAGCGATCGTTGCGCTCACGCCGCTGCTTGCCCTCAGCTTGATTGGCTGTGAAACATCCCCAGGCTGCTGGTTGTCCCACTCTTCCTCAACAATAGCAGCGCCCCCCACTTCCACAACACACACCACACACACATGATACGCACACGCACGCGCACACACAGGCTGGTTCCAGAGCAGCCTGCTGACGTCAGTGGCTGCCACGGGCCAGGCGCCCTACCGCCAGGTGCTCACCCACGGCTTTGTGCTGGACGAGCGTGGGGCAAAGATGAGCAAGAGCCTGGTGAGCCGCGGGGCCATTTGTGTGTTTTTGAATGTGTTTGTGGAGGTAAGGGAGTTTGTGGGCGCAGTCGTGTGTACGTGTATTTTTGTGCGTGCGTGCACGCCTTGCGTCGCATGTGCGTCCTACGGGGGCCGGGCTCCTCGCATGTTGTGCTGCAGCATGTTGGCTCAGAGCCAACAGCGGCTTGCATCCCAAGAGCATCCAGCAGCCGGCGCCAAGCCCGATGGCGTTACCAGCCAATTGGCCGGCTCATCACGCCGCCTTAGCTGCAGTCGCCTGGCAACCACACATGCGGCCCCCCCTCACCAGCCTTGCGTGATCGGTCCGCAGTGCAGCCCGCCTCGCACCTGCACCTCCCCGACACATGCACCCCAGCCACAACACACCATCTCACCCTCGCGCCCCCCCACCCCAAACCACCCCTGCAGGGCAACGTCATTGACCCCCGGGTCGTGATTGAGGGCGGGAAGGACGCGAAGAAGGACCCGGCCTACGGCGCAGACGTGCTGCGCCTCTGGGTGGCCAGCGTGGACTACTCCAATGACGTCATGGTGGGGGGCGCCACGGCCACTTTTGTGTGTGTGTGTGTGTGTGTGTGTGTGTGTGTGTGTGTGTGTGTGGCGGGGGGGGAGTGCGGTGTGCTTGTAGGTGTGGTTGTGGGTGAGTGGGGGTGACGGGTGTGGGTGTGGGTGAGGGTGAGTTTGTGGGTGTGGTTGTGGGTGTATCAGGCGGAAGCTTTGCGGTGCAGATGGTGCTGCGTGATGAGTGTCACAGCTGGGTGGCATCTATGGGGGTGCGTTCAGGCGGGGGCATCACGCGGCTGACCGTGCGATGCCCGTAGGCAGGGGCGCACGCGGCGTCGTAAGGTCTGTACAAGTTGACCAGACGGCTATGGGGCGATTCCGCACTTTGTTCCGGCTCATCCACCCCCAAACCCGCAGACGCCTTGCTTAACCAACCTCAGGCTGCAACTTTCTCAGTTGTTAGGCACAGTGCACACCCTGACATGATATGCCGCACACTCCCCCCTTACCCCAAACGCAGATCGGCCCCGGCATCCTGAAGCAGGTGGCGGAAGCCTACAGGAAGCTGCGCGGCACCCTGCGCTTCCTCCTTGGCAGCCTGGCTGACTTTGACCCCGCGGTCAACGCCGTGCCGTACGAGCAGCTGCCCGCGGTTGACCGCTACGTGCTGGCGCGCCACGCGGAGGTGATGGACGAGGTGCAGGACGCATACGACACGTACCAGGTGCGAGACCCGGGGGGGGGGGGAGGAGGGCAGTGCCGCGACATGGGCGCGATCTGGGCCCAGGGCAGCGCCCAGACCGCGTTCAGATCGCGTCCGGGTCGCGGGACGGGCTCTGGAGCCTCTCAGGACGCGTGCCAACCTGGTGTGGCAAAGATGGCAGGGTTCATGTTGAGTCCCCTCTTGAGCTCCCAACCATACTCCCTCGCACCTCTTGCAGCTCAGACATGCCCCACCCCACCCC